TCTCCCAATGACGTCCCATGATTGCCTGCTGTGCACTCTGGAAGGATGGACACGTCGGCCACAATCGAATGACGAAGAATTTGTGGAACTGCTCGGCTTGCTGCAGTAGACAGAACGAATGTTACCTATTGGGAAGAACTTTCTAACTATGCGGGAGGTTAAGCACTGAACAGGCAAGCTCGTGAGATTGCAGCATCTCAATTTCTGGAAGTTTAATTTGTTGGTTAGAGAAGCATTTATCTGGGATGGTTTAGATAGGGACAATCCTACCCTTAGCAGGGGGTTGAACTAGATGCCTCTTGAGGTCTTGTCAAGCCTGATTTTTCTGTGATTCTATGGGATAAGCCCCCCGAAGCCTTTGTGCCCTGGAAGTAAGTGCGACACCAGACTGGACACCTCTGCTCAAGTGTGATCTTCCAGGGTGGGTGCCTTCATTAGAGCTAGACTCACTTGTGCATCAAAAATGCACCCTGGACTGTTAATCCTTCCCTAATGAAAAGATGATGTGATGTGTCCATGGCATTATCTTGCCCCTGTGCTCTAATTCTTGGTCTGGGACAAAATCCTGGCTCCACTGAAGTCAATCGGAGTTGTGCCATTGATGTGAGACTCCTGTTTCACCTCCTGTGTTTTGTAATTCGCTCACTGGCTAGGAGCAAGCCAGTTTATCTCCCAAGCTCCTGTCTCTGACTGCACCCTACACCATATGAGAGCAAACCCTTACATGCATTTGGAAGATGTTGGGAGAAAATGCCCTGAATATAAGAAATACCACTCCACCATAAGCAGAGTTTTGTCCCCAAAAAGGGAGATGGGCCAGGCTCCCCATAAACTCCACTAGGAGCTTTGCTATCACTAATGATTTTAGGTGGTGGGTGCTCACCTACTAGGATGATGGGTGGCAGGGTAAAACCTGACTAGCGGGGCCTGGCAGGAGGATGTGTCTCTTGGTCCTAGCAGCGGGAAGGTGTTTACAAGTGTGCAAGGTGTGCTGGGAGACTGTTGCTTCCTTTGATCAGAATAAACTTGAGATATTCCTTCCTGACTTGTCACTCAGGGTTTTATCCTACAGCCGTTGTTTCAGACAGACATGATTAAACATACATGCTTCAATTATAAACTCTGCTTCTCACTGCACGAGCTGCTTTCTATTGGTTATTCTGTATTTGCTACAGCCCACCAGATATAATCAGACCTCCATGCAGTTCCCGTATAGCACAATATCCCCAGACAATTTAAAACACTCAAGGTCTGTTTATTAGATAATTATTTAGATTCACTCAACCAGACCATGGAAACGGTATTTCTCCTAAGACGCAAGAACCATTGACAAGATTTTAAGTGCCAATCCCCGAAACAAACAGCCTTCACCATAAGGAGCAGTTATTCACTAAACCTTAGAGCGCTTCCCTGCAAATTGCCCCAAGCAACACTCCTTCCAAAAAAGCCCCATGGCCAGATGATCCTTGTAGCATGCCCTGAAGGGTAAATTTGAACATAGTAGCCCCTCAGGTACCATGCACGTGTAATGGATGCAGTTCCTCCAGGTGATGAAAAGGTTTCTAAATTAAACACTGCTGAACAGGCATTGCTTCGTCTTTTATCCAAGTTGGTTTTAGCAGGTGTGCAGAGCTGCCCAATTCTAAGCTGTATTAACTTTGTTCCTAAACACTCAGGATTGGTTAAGGGGAACATAGGGGCTCCTCCTGAAAGGGCCTTGAGCTTGCAGGGCCCAGTTTTTTGGGATGTACACATTTGTACGGTAGGAATCAAAAAGCATGTAGACTCCAAATCTCTGGGATTTGGTTCATACCAGGCCAGGTCCCAGCTTTGTTCACTTCGATGAAACAATCCTATGTCAGGACATGCACGGAAATTATACTGCTGAGCATCTTTGGCAGAGAATATCATGAAAAATGCAAGGGAAGAAAGCTTGAAAAGGGGAGAAATAAGCCAAAGGGAAGGGGCTCCAAAGATGCAAAGACAAAGTGAACCAGAGATTCCTAGGGAAGGAGGGAGGAAGGAAAAAGATTAAAAAAATTGATATGGCTGCTTAAATAGCCTTCCTTCTTCCAACACCCCAAATTGCGGAGACCCTCTGGCTGTGGAAATGAGCTGAGAAAGATGAAATCGGCTGGTGCGGCCTGAGCAGACAAGATGGAAGTAGGTGGTACGTGAGGGGCTCAGGGAGCAAGTTTAAGGAGAACTTGCAGAATCACAAGGGGTGCTCCCCAAATCCAGTTCTGCGAAGGCTTTTGGAAGGAAAAGCTGGCCAGCTTTGCAACTTCAAGCAGCCACAAAGGGCAAGAGAGGATACTGCTCCTCCCTATACTCATTTCAACTGAAACGTGTAACTTTGTATAAACCTAGTGGCCTGGAACTGCTCTGGGATACGAGATCCTCCCTGCCAAATGCTGAAGGGACTGTCACTTAATTCACCACGCCTTCCATACCCAGCTTTTGCCACGGCACCTCTGAACCATTTGGCAACTTGGTGCAGGAACACCTTCCTCATCACGATCCTGGCACAATGTGACCCCGTGACACTGCCAGGGGCTGTGGGCTGCTCCTATGGCTATGGAGCACCATACTGAGCCATTCAATTGGCAGCCTGGCCTAGCCACAGACATCTTTTCTTTATTTCAGTACCTCAGGTTTCCCAGTGCCGAAATGCATCCAGGGGAGAACACCTGCAAAATACTGAGATGCTAGAAGATAAATTATACTGCTAAACACCCATTGTAATTGCTGCTAAAAAGTATTAGCCTCTGATAGGAGCAGGATACTGCCATGACTGCTCTGAAAGGGAGGTAAAAATTTGCAAGAGTGCCTTGGGGGAATGAAGTCCCAGTCTCAAAAGGGCTTATGTGATTTAGGTGCCTACGTCCCTTCTGAACATGGGACTTTTTTGCAAAATTTTACCCTGGGTCCTGTAGGACAGCTTGCATGGCCTTACAAGCATACTCCCCAGACTCATTCAGACTTTTCGTGGTCCTGCAGCTGCCCACAAAGAAACCGCAGAAAGGAGAAAAAAAAACCCTGCTAAAAAAAAAGGCATCTGACCTTGTCCATCCTTTTAATGAACTTTTCAAAATGAAAGACAGAGAGAGAGAGAGAGAGAGAGAGAGAGAGAGAGAGAGAGAGAGAGAATGTGCACAAGTGAGCGCTCATTCGAATGGGGTAAAAATATTTAGGGAAGTTATTACACTTCTCGGAAACTTCATGAGTCTATTATTTACAGGCCAGAGCAATCTGTAGAAAAGTCTGCAGCTAACAGGTTTAGCCCACAAGAGCATGTAAATGCTAACTTACTAATAATGGCCTCTGTGGCTGGAAAGCCCCTTTGATCAGCCACCTCAAATGCAGAGCTGTACTGGGCAGCCAGGCAGTGTGCCTGAGCTGCACGGTTGACTAAATATTGCAGAGACAAGAGCACAGGGAAAACACCAGAATGTGACTTCTGAGGTGTAATTCTCCATGCGGCGACAAATACACAGCAGATACCTGGAGGAAGAAGGCTGGGATTTCCACTGAGTGACAGCAAAGAGACTTCAGCAGCTCTGAAACGCTCACCTCCAACGTCACCCGAGCAGGCGACACACCATGTTAGAAACTCTTGTAAAACTCCTGAAGCCACGGCCCTCCATTCACTGGCTGGGGCAATAAGATGTGGTTGACCAGGAAGCTGAACGGCTTCTGAAGGGCAATGTCAGGATGTGACTTCAAGCATTTTTGTGGCGAGATTAATTAGTCTCAGCTGAGTCACTGGTAGAGACAGCAACACCTAAACCCAGAAGGTTTTAAAGGCAATTCCACCATTGGCAAATGGTGCGGCCATGATCACCATCTCATGAGACAAGCCACATTTTCCAGCACATTTCTGCACTGGCCTGCTTCACAACAAAGGAAGTATATCAAGGGCGTACATCAGGGCCTGGGGGAGCATTTGTTCAACAGGGGAGGACCAGAAATAATAGGCACAAGCTGAGCGAGGATCACTTCAGACTAGATGGAAGGAAAAGCTTCTTTCCAAGTTGAGTACCGAGGGTCTGGAACAGGCTCCCCGCAGAGGTGGTACTGTCACCCACCCTGGCAATCTTCAAAAAGCATCTTGACACCCATCTTGCTGGGGTCATCTGACCCCAGGGTCTTTCCTGCTCAGCTGCAGGGGGGCTGGACCCAGTGATCTGTAAGGTCCCTTCCAGCCCCTGACAACTATAAAACTATGAAGAGTCACCTCTGTAGCATGGGAGAGACCTAAGGGTTTGACCTTTATTCCTCAGTGGTGCTAATGCTCTAAACAAAGGTGGTTCAGAGACACAAAGAAGTTCCTAACTACACTACAACGGGTACCAGGGCGAGAGCAGACCCCCTGCATAGTTCTACCCATCACACCACAAAACTAAAAGTACAAACCAAACAGGAACACAAAAGGCTCATGTCACCCTTCTCTTCTAAAGAAGGCACACAACCCTACCCACCGCTCCCCACCCACACACACCCGTCCGTGGCTCACCATCCACTGCAGGACGCGAGACAAAACTGCTCTTCCTGATTTATTGAAAGTCCGTAACTTGCTCCAGCGTCTTTAAAGCCCTTCACTCCCTCACAGCTCTCTTTGCTCCTCTACAGTCTGTCTCTAGTCTTGGCCACTGGCAATGCCTTTGCAACCCCAGCCAATTCACAGGTGTCCTTTATTTCTGCAATTCAGTTCTTCACCTTCTTGCAATTCCCTCCTAAAAACAGACTGTCCTCCCTTGCCTTTGCTTTGGCATTATGACTACTACTTATTTCTATCTGGGATAATGCCTTTGAGGCCCTGATGATGCCATGAGCTGTACAGAACAGATTAGATGGGCAATAATATCCACAAACACCATGGGTAAAATCTGTTTCCCATTATAGTCAATGGAAGTTTTGCCTTGACTTCACTGAGGTTAATTTTTTATTTCTATGGTGCTGAATTATGTAAGTTCTGTGCAAAATATCAGTCCTCTTACCTGCTCTTGCACTCTGGGCTGCTGGTCCCAAGACAGAAATCAGATGCTGGAAAAAGATGAAAAAAAACCCCAGAAAACAGGAAAGCCACTAACTGCATGCTTAAAAAACATCTAAGCAATACAAAAATGTCTAGGCAATATAATTAATTATCACTATCTTGTTCATCTAATAAAAGATATCACCTCTGCCCCAGGAGTTTTGTCTGTCTAGGTAATTAATACACATGATCTTAGTAACTTTGCAGAAACTAAATAATTATCACTGTCCCACCTCTTCGGTCTGGCAATGTGTCTGCATTACTGTTTAGGTGAATGAATCGCAAGCAAGGGATTGTGCTGTTCATGAAAACAGAGGAAGTCAGAAGAACAGCGAGGTGTCAAAGGCAGGAAAAAAGACTCCCAGTTTTGTGTGTCAGCCACTGGACTGCTATCTTTTTATAAAGGCCATCTCTATCAATACTATGACAATGTGAGTCACTGTAATACTTATCTAATGGTGGCTGGATGTTCTCATGGTTCATATTTTCCAGGCAGATCTGTTAAAACAGAAAAAAAAACCAAGAAGGAAAAAACAACGTTAACAAAGAATTTAAAAAAAATCAAAGCAGTACCCGGGCCAGTAACAATGCATCAAATCAGTGGGTCAAGAAACACAGCAATTGCAGCTACAGGTAGAGAATGGACTGGAAAATAACTCTTCTCTTTCTAAGGGGAAAACAATACAAACCAGGGAAACATTTAAGCAGAAGCCAACTTCAAGAGGATCGGCCACTCTGTGTCCCACTACCTAATGCTCACTCCAGACTCATGCTAGCAAAGATGATAAACTAGAGCAAACAACTGCATATGGGGTTATGATTTTGGGATTCTGGCTCATGGGTTTATTCCACTAATAGTACTGTATTTTTCTGGTTTCTCCTTGTTTGGTGTTACTGCTGTGTCAGTGCTTAGCAATGAGCATGAATGTACTTAGTTTAATCAATAGTAGAGAGCTTGCGGTCCCCATATGCCACATATGTGACACTTGTATGTGTTTGCACAGAAATGCATGCATGCACAAACTCCCATATTACAGCAATATAACCAAAACCAAGATAGAGAGAGAAACTACAGCACTATCCTGTTTTGACTCTCCATTAAATAATCCGTTATACTCCACTTCTGAACAGTTACTTGTATGGTTCAGATTAAGATCTGGACATTTTCCCCACATCAAGGAACTGACTCACTGACTAAGGACCAACTGATTTTACTGCAGTAGGATCAACTCGTGATGCTTACTGAGGATGATGGCTGCAATGTCAAAGAGAGTTTGAAAGAACTAAACATGTTTAGCAAGCAGAAAAGATGATTAAAAGGGGTATATGGTAGCAGTCTTCAAAAATTTGGAGAGCTGCTGGAAAGAAGAGGGAAAACAACTTTTCTCCCTTGTTGAAGAGGGCAGAACACATACTGATGGCTTTAAACTGCAGCAATGTACATTTAGATCAGACATCAGGAACATCTTCCTTAAGCAGTGAGGCAGTGGAGCAGACTGTCTAGGGAAGCTGTAAAATTTAGGGGGAGGCAGAGAGGAGAGGTGAGGGGGTTGTTTGGGGTGTGCTGATGCTCCCGTTGGGGCTTAAAAACCCAGAGGTTCCTAACTGGGCCATCTTGCTTCTCTGCGTAGACCGAGACTGATGACATCTGGGATGCGGAAGAATTTTACTCTACAGTCAGACCAGCGCAGACTGCAGGGGTGTTCACCTTGTGCAGCAGGAGGCATGCTTACCGTGCTGGGACCTATGACCCCAGCTGACTTCCTGCCCCTGGGGTGGAGGGGCTGGACTCGATGATCTTCCGAGGTCCCTTCCAGCCCTAATGTCTATGAAATCTGTGAAATCCTTTTCCTTGGGTCTCTCAAACATATTTTTACAACCATTTCCTGTCCTTGCACAGAAAGGATGCTGACAGTGCCCTCCTTCCTCTGGCTTTACCTGTGGCAAGTTAAAGGGTGTTTTTGATGTTTCGGGCATTATGTCTTGGAGTTGTGTATGAGGGTTGTTCTTGAAGTTTTGAACAACAGGACAGTTAATTCCAATTTGTCAGGGTAGTTCAGACAGGGACAACCCTGGCTTGAGCAGGGGGTTGGGACGAAGGGACCTCCAGAGGTCCCTTGCAACTCAACTTTTCTATGATCTGAAGTCACCCAGCAGATGTCGTATTAAAATCTATTCTAGTCCATTTGGATTCTTGTGCTGTGCCTGGTAGAGCTGGGCAGTGACACAAACATACTCTCCTTTGCATATAATGCTCCTGGGACTTTGGCAGGTAGAATGAGCAAGACAGTAACACCCCAGAGAGAGCCCAACCCATTCAGTGAAGTAGGAGAGAGTATTTTGTATACATGGAGAGCGCCCGATCCTGAATGGCTCTCTTAATTCCAGACTGCACCGGCTTGCAGCATCAACATCTCACTAAGAAACTGGGCTAAAATCCAACCCGTGCACATTTCACCATGGTTATAAGTTGTATTTACTATGCGGTTTCTATAAACACCAACCCCAACCAAAACAGATAAAATTGCAAATATACTGCTGTGTGGGTACCAGGTGGCCTTAAAGCCCTGGTCTTGCAGGGACCACTACAATTAAAACAAAATGCCACCACCTTGGGAAGAACAGCAGCTGTGTCAGGCCTTCTGCCCCCACCTACAGGTCTTTAAAGGCTGACTGTTATACAGATGGTCAACTCATCACTGAAAGACCTGGCCAACATTAGCAAAAAGCCATCAGATAACCACAGGTATCCTTCCTGCTTCTTACCAGAATTGTGTTCCCAAGTTACTTAACATTTGCATTTTCACAGAGCAGCTTTTTACATATTGGCTTCTTTTCTACCTTGGAGAACTCATAACAGCTTCAGCTTTTCCTTTGCCTGATGAAGGGCACGTGGGCCCGAAAGCTTGCAAAGAACATTTTTTTTTGCAACTATTTAGTTGGTCTAATAAAAGATACCACCTCTACCCAAAGAGTTTTGTCTGCCAATTCAGCAAAACATTTAAAGCAAATTCTTAACTGCAGGTATAGGAGGAATCCCACTGATGTTCAGGAAAGTATGGAAGCTTGACAGATTCACAGAGGCAAACTGCTCTTTTTACACTGGCATCATCCCACTGGTATGACTCTCTTTACCAAGATAAATGTGTTTGGAGCAGCCTTGCTTATTGCTCTTCCCAGTACAGATATAAGGCCTTTTACACCAGCAAAGTGACATCTGCATTAGGGATCTGCATTTGGTTTGTTTAAAAATATTGCTTACAAAAACCCATAACTCATTAATATTAGATATTAAATAACAGATTTAAAAAATTGTGTGGGGACTAGGGCTATGAGATATACTTCACTTTCAGCACAAATTTAAGTTCCACAGAACTCAACTGCTTTGTTGGACGGGGCTGGGATTACTCCAAAAGAGTAAATATTTTTGTACAATCAGAGGTTATACCAAGACCCCTTACAGGTTTCTTTTGCTCCTTCCTAGTCCTTGCTGTTAGCTCAAGGCATAGAAGACTGGGAAAAAATGAAGCCTAGGTCCACAACATCATTAAGGCACTGAGTCAGGTTCTTACCAGGCAAGGTTATTTTCTGAAGCCCTAATACCAGCCAGCACTGCCGTTATAATTATTTGGAGATAACAAGAACTTTCTCACATGCAATGATGTGATCTTTCCATTCACCAATTAGCTGCGTTTAGGCAAAAATCAGCTGAGCCATACAATTGATGGGGGCAAAATCTCTTAGAGAACTTTCTTACCAGTGAACTCTTAAATGAGGGGGTGGGGGAAACACCCCAAGGGTTCCCAAGGGGGCTGAGTCATAGCCCAGGCCTCTCTTGGAGTTTTTTCTCTGAAATCTCCAAACACCTCCGCAAGTTCACACTACAAAAAGGAAGAGAAAAGCCCAGGTATGAATCACATGTTCTGAGTGCTCGCTCAGCCCCAAAAATGTTTCACAGTCACTGAACAATTTCTGCACAGGCTGTTAAAATAGACCAAAAAAAAAAACAAAAAACTTCCCAGCCTGAAGGATGGCAGCCTTCATTTCTGGGTGGGCTGAAGACAGCTCAGTCACTTGCTCTATCCCCAAGACCCAAACCAGGTGTGAAGATTGACAAGATGTGCCGCAAAGCTTCTGTGTAGCCCCTTCCAACCTCTCAGTGAAGAGCCCCGAAAAGCAAAGAGCGTTCATACAGAGCAAGCGCAGCGAATCCCTGCACCGTGACAACCACCACCTTCATTCCTGAAGGCTGGTCTCACAGCATAAGGAGGACAGATCAACTGTGTATTCAACCAGAAAACCAAGTCCAAAGGAAACCGAAGCTGTGACTGGCTGTGGAGACCAGTCCCAAATCAAATGCCCCAGCATAGCGCGTGGTGCCTTTCGGATGGTCCTGCAGTTTCATCAGTGGAGACAGGACCTTCAACGCCCAACCCAGAGACCTCCAGCACCTGAACCAAAGGAAAAATGCCTCTACATGTGAGCATGTACATGTCCTCCTCTATTGATGAATGCACAACTGAGGGCCAACAAAAAATTGTGGCTATTTAAAAAAATAAAGAGCCTACTACTAGCTCAAGTCTTGGGAACCACATATTGGAAGGAGGAGGGTCTAAGTCCCATCCCTGAATTTCTCAGTGTCTACAAGGTTTAAGTGACAACCGTTAGGCTTCAAAATGGCCACTTACTTATCACCATATTATAAGATAAGACCTGGAAAAATCCCTTGGTAATCATTAACACTTAAACCTGAGTACTTCCTTGGTCTCTCTGTACTATGTTATGTAAGAGAACTTAAGGGGAGTAAATTTAAGGCTTACACACTACTTAAAACCCATTTCAGATTAGTATTAAGTTGGATTTAAAATAATTTAGATTAACAATCTGGTGACGGTGAGCTCCCCTTCCAATAAATTTGGGATTCTGACCCCCAACTGTGCGGCGCTTGTTTCTTTATTACTGCTACTTTCACAGATGTTGAGGTCAGCAAACCAAACAATCGTCTGGTCTAAAGTCTTGCATAACACTGACCACAGAATTGCAGCCACTAATGCCTGCATCCAACTTGTTAACTTGTGATCACACAAGAGCACCTGTCTGAGACAGAGATCCAGCCTGGAAAAAGAGGCCACACCTACACGAGAGGCTGGCGGCGCAATTACCTGATACTACTGTCAGCAGCGTCACGTGGCAGCAACCGTGACGCAACACTACTGTGTAATATTAAGCTACTGAGCAGCAGCATTACAAAAAACGCATTCGTCAGCACTACTGTGCAGTAGCTTGGGTTACTGTGCAGTCATTTAGTACTTGTACTTATACAAGAGCTAAACAAGTACTAAATGACTGCACAGCACCGACTGCATAATCAGCGTCTTGTGTAGATGCGGCCACACAGTGATTAATTTATACATGCAAATCAGATGAAAGGTCAAGTGATCCTTCCTGGGATCAGGAGTTCCAAGGTGTATAAGCCTATTACATGCTGGGTTCAGACC